GGGGAGGAGGAGGAGGAGGAGGAGCAGCGGGCTCAGGTGCAGGCAATCATTTCAAGGGGGAAGGAGAGGAACAGCGCCAGAAGCTCCAGCCGCACCACGGTGACTCGGGCTCCCCTGGCGAGCGGCGCGCCGAGCCGCTGGGAAGGATGCCTGTAGGTGAGGGGGACTGCGAGATGTGCTTGAAGGAAGAATTGCAGAAAGTAGCCGTTTGATACGTGCTCCTGTGCTGACGGACGAAGGGAATGAATAGCCAGAAATATTCTGGGATGTTATAAAATCAAAAGGACTTTCTGTACAGCGTGGCGATGCACGGCAGGAAATTAACTCCAAAAAGAATGCTTTCTCTCAAACTGCTGCAACAGCTTGGGAAATGTTTCTTTTCTAGTGTCTGAAATTCCTCCTGAAGACACAGCAAGGACTATCAAAAACATCAGAGAGGTTCTGGTACTTTAAAGAGACTTAAAGCAAATGCCAGCGTAATATCTGAATGACCTTGGAGATCATTTTATGTGGATTCATTAATTCTCACTGCCAGTCTTCTAGTCTCAGGAACGCTAGGATTAAAGATGGTTTTAACATTTTAGGGGCCTTTCAAAAAGCAAGATTGTATACAATTAATTACCTGCCTAATGATTCCTGAACTAATCAAGCATTTACTTAAAACTGAACGCAGAGGATGCTTTCTTTTAACATTTGCTCTCTCCGTAACTGTGAATAAAATGAACAAGGTAATGTCCTGCAAATAGAAGAGCATTTTTTTTTTTAAAGCAACTGCTTATTATGCTGATCATCTAGTAAATATAGAAACCTATATAGAAGCTTAATAACAGAATAATGGAGTAGTAAACAATGGCAGCTTTTCTAGTCAAATCAGCATTTCATTAGCTTCACAGCAGAATGCAGATGGAAGTTTCTGTTCTCATTGTATGGGGGTTTGTGAAATGATTCAGGTGTTGCTACAGAGGTGAGCAATATTGTGGATATACCTATGAACTCCTGGGTGCTGATCCACTGTAGCAGATATGGCAGAGTTTCCAAAGATGGTTATTTTAAATTACCATGGCTGAAATTAAATTCAAGAGGTTTTATTTTGTTTATGGGGACCTTGAGTTATGCCTCTGGCATTAATAGTTGTAACTGTAATGGGCTGTAACTGTTTGAAGGAATTTGGACTATTGACATAAGTCTCCAAATTCTATTCTTAAATTATTTTCCTTTTTAAGTGAATAGACACGATCTTCCTCATTGTATGTGAGATGTATGTTTTCTTTCTTGGGAGTCAGAGGACAAACCTGCTTTGTCCCCCACCCGTCTCCCTCCAAATAAAATTCATTATTCATACCCGAGCAGTGGTGAGTCTATTGGAATTAACCTTGACAAAAATGTTTTCCTTACCTTTGCAATGAGTAGCATGGATAAGACGGAGTGCCATCTCCTGAGTGGAGCCAGGAAAGACAGCATTAGATGATGAACTTTCTCCTTTACTCTCCAGTCAGCCTGTGATTTAAAATGAGACATTAAAAATGTTATCTCCAATAACTGCTGGTCCAGGAAACCTGAGCAGTTCCTCCTTCCCTTCCTCCCTCACACCCCATTCTATTCCAAAGTCCATTACTTTCTCAGGAAAATAAGCAGACAGAGATTCCCCCCTTCTTCCCTAAGAAATGAATGTGTCTCTTTTGTCATTTTTTATTTCCATATTTCACAGTATCTGTTTGTTTTAGAAGTGCCTTGTGTTTGCTAAAGATTGGTCAAGAGCACTGGAGGAGCTGATCAGTGGCCTTTCTCTTTCTGGCTTTTTTTTTGTTTTGTTTTGTTTTTCTTTTCTTTCTTTCTTTCTTTCCTTAAAGCTAAGGTGTGCCAGAGGTGATGCACTGATGCTGAGGAGGCATCAACAGCTATGGGACTGTAATCCTCTCAAATGTAAGCACTGGCAGTGTCTACAGAGAGAGATCGTGAGACGCTGAAGCAGAGTTTAGCTGCTGTTAAGCAGGTCATCTGCTCACTAAGGCTCAGATTGCAGTCTTCCCTAATCACAAAACATGAACCAGTCCCGATGGATTGAATGGAGGACTCTGAATACGAGCAGTAGTGTTATGAACATATCTGAGCATCTCTCCTGCCCCCTTGGATTTGGTCACTACAATGCAGTTGACATCTGTATCCTTGAGACAGTTGTTATTGTCCTGCTAACATTTTTAATTATTGCGGGTAACTTAACTGTGATCTTTGTTTTTCACTGTGCTCCACTTCTGCATCATTATACCACCAGCTATTTTATTCAGACCATGGCGTATGCCGATCTTTTTGTTGGAGTTAGCTGCTTGGTTCCTACTTTGTCACTGCTCCACTACTCGACAGGTGTCCACGAGTCCTTGACTTGTCAAGTTTTTGGATATATCATCTCTGTGCTCAAAAGCGTGTCTATGGCGTGTCTCGCTTGCATCAGTGTGGATCGCTATCTTGCCATAACAAAGCCTCTCTCCTATAACCAACTGGTCACACCCTGTCGCTTGAGAATCTGCATCATTTTGATCTGGATATACTCTTGTCTGATCTTCTTGCCTTCCTTTTTTGGTTGGGGAAAACCTGGTTACCATGGAGATATTTTTGAATGGTGTGCTACCTCCTGGCTAACTAATGCCTATTTTACTGGCTTTATCGTGTGCTTACTGTACGCTCCCGCTGCCTTTGTCATATGTTTCACCTATTTCCACATCTTTAAAATTTGTCGGCAGCACACCAAAGAGATAAACGATCGGAGGGCTCGATTTCCTAGCCACGAAGTGGATGCTGCTGGGGAGACTGGGCACAGCCCCGACCGCCGCTATGCCATGGTTTTGTTTCGGATAACCAGCGTGTTCTACGTGCTGTGGCTCCCCTATATCATATACTTTCTGCTGGAGAGCTCTAGGGTGTTGGAAAACCCAGCGCTTTCCTTCTTAACCACATGGCTTGCTATAAGCAATAGTTTCTGCAACTGTGTGATCTATAGCCTCTCCAACAGCGTTTTCAGGCTGGGACTGCGGAGACTGTCAGAGACAATATGTTCATCTTGTATGTGTTTAAAAGACAGGGACGCACGGGACCCAAAGCCGAGAAAACGGGCTAATTCCTGCTCCATTTAAAGCAAACTGGCACATGTAATCCACTGCGGAGTTTTGATAGTATTTGTTGTACCTGGAGACTTGCCAGAAGAGAAATGTTTACTCGAATAGCTTGCTATGGTGTTAGAGTGCGTTTAAAAGTAATTGCGGAAAAGGAAAAGGCTGCCGTAAGAGGGGTCACTGAACTTGAATATAGCTCTTGTCAAATTGTGAGAGAGAGCAATTCGACAGAGATGATGAAGAAAGTCAGAACTAAAAATCTTCCAAAGGGCATGAAATAACTACCACTATCAGAGGAGGTTCCTCATAAAATAAATACGTTAGTTACTACCTTATATTTTCCCCCCTGTAGAAAAGTTGTCTTACTATATTTGTGTCAGAATATACTGTAGCCTTCTGAATTTCAATATATTTAAGAGGAAACAATCAACGACACGCTAAGCGGCTGTCCATAAATTATATACCTGAGGACTATAGAGCTGATAATTAATCTGCAGTATCTACTGTCTCTGCTCACATACTGTACAATTCTTAGTTGTACAAACAACCCGCGATGCATAAAACCTACACCGGGCATGACGCTTTTGGATAAAGTGACACGTTTTGGTACAACTTTCACAGAAGCTCTCCCTCTCATTTCCCTTTTTTTTTTTTTCCCCCCCCCTTTTCATGCTGTGCATCCCTAGATTCCATCGCGTCCCAAGTGGTTTAGTTTGAGGGCACCACCTATGAGACAGACTGAATTTCCAACCATTCTTCCTGCAGAAAGCAGTAGCCCTTCCTGGCTGGCTGTCTAAGAGCAGCTGCCCACGTATGACAACTTCTTCAGTCTTTCCTTCTCTCAATCCTGTTGAATTAGCACACAGTATCGATGTAGTGTCCTTTAGGGTGTACTGAAGCTTTTCCTTTATTGGCTACACAGATAATCCTAATGCAAATCTGTGATAATCGCACACAGCGGTGTGCTTCACTGCTTAGAAAATTAAAACTAACTAACCCTTTTCTTTGGGAAGTCTAAATAGCTTACTGTTGTAGCTGTCAATCCGTTGTGTAAACCTAGCTTGCACATACTGTATTTTTTTTAGAGAAAACGTAAATTGTGGTCTGTGCCTAATGTTTTCATAGCACATGGAATAGGTCAGTGCTACAGGATTAAAAAAAGTTGCACTTGCTTTAAGAGAAATACTTGTGTGCAGTTGTGGAATAGCTGTTTGTTAGACAAGTGTTCTTGGAGAAGGCAAGCAAGACTGTTTAGTATTAAATCAGGCAGAGAGTTTCAGTATTTCCTTTTGTACTGAACTGATTTTCAGGTCCACAGATGAAATTTTTTTATTTTGCAAGGGCGCACATTAGGTTTCTGTAATAAATTGCCAGGGGTTCAGATGCATGCCAATCAATACAATATCAAAATTATTATTTTGACCAAATGTAATTTTCTTAGCTGGTTATTGGCTTTTTGAAAAGGCCCAATTATTGAGTGTTGGTGCCTTTTAACACTGCACTATTATTCCTTCTTTCACCAAAACGCATATGTAAAGATCGTGCCTATTACTTTTTGTAATGGAAGCTAACCACGCTTGCACACTTGTGGTTTGACTCTAGAACTCCCTTAATTATGTACTCTTTGTTCTGTTGAGGTGGTTCTGAACCCCTGTACGTTTTTTAAACATGTAAGAAAGTTGAAACAATGGAATAAAGTAGTATTATGTCTATCAAAACCAGCCTTGGTGTTAGTTCCCTGATGTTACGCTCTGTTCTCTGTGAAAGTCATTTTGGGTTAGGACTTGAGAGTTGAACAATTTAAAATGCAAACCTCAAAGCTGCTTACTTACCATCTTAAACACTTATGTACCTCTTTCTAGCATTGCACAATCTTTAAAGCAGATTGGAATACATCAAGCTGAGCTGTTGCTGACAATTAGCCCTGATAGATGATATGGGAAAATAAGTAGTATTCTTTGCACGTATCTCATAATGGTCCATGTCTACAGGAATGCGTCTGCTGCCTTCCTCTGAAAAGTTGCTGCTTATTTCAGAAGGCTCTTTTTGGCTGACCTCTGCTCTGTAAGGTTGTGTAACCTAGCCTCTTCTTACAAACATGGCTTGGATTCATTAAGTTTTGTCTTTATTTTGTCATTGTCACCTGCTTAGTAGGTCCTCAGCATACAGGACTTACACAGGGCACAGTGAAATATCTCATCTCTTACAACTCACAGGGTTGGTTTCATACCAATAAGGTAGTTTTATACCTGTGCTCCACAGCTGGCTGCTTACCACATCTGTTTTTTGTTGACATACATGACCACAAGTTTTTCTGGGACCTCCTGAAATTCAAGGCAAGTTCTAGAAAGTGCTTGAAGTTGAACTAGCCTTTTATTAAACCCAGCCTGGAGGCAGCAGATGCATTGTTAGCATGGTACTGTAACTACAAACATGTAGAAACACACAAGCTAACTCATTGGTATTGGTAGTGCCTTAGTAGAACCCTGCTTGAATAACCTCAGCAAACAGAGTTGATGTACAGCAACTTGAAGCTTTATCCTCCCAACGGTAGGTTAGTAAGGGAGCTTCACTTGAGGGCCTGCAGCAGCACAAGGGTTAGTGGCCAGCCCACTGGCAGCTTGCCCTGAAGGGCAGAGTTAGCAATACTTTTCTCCTTCCCATCGTGTTGAGGTTGTGGAGTTGTCAGGCAGAACTGAAGATTTCGTTTTTTCTCAGGCTGTCATTGGAGACAGAGAATATAGTAGAAATGGAATACCCTGGAAGTAAACCGTAGGCTCCTAGGGTTTGTTTTTTAAAAATTGGCTTAATGTTGTTGGTGCAAGAATGCCAATTTGCCTGGCTGGACCCTGAATTTCGGTGGCTGTAAAGTCACGTTTCAAGCTGTTCTGTGTAAATCTGAGTCTCCTGGAGTCTGTCAAATTAAACATCCTCAGCAGAGTTAAATACTTTCTTCTTGCTCTTTCCCAGATGACAGGGTTTGACCTGGTGGTCACTCACGTGAATTCTACATTTAGTAAGTGTGTTTCATTTCTTGAAAGTGTTTTCTAAATTAACGATTTAAAATTTTATATGCGGGAGGTTTGTTATTGTTTTACTAATGCTGTCTGAGGAGTCCAGCTGGTGCTAAATTCTCTTCCAAAATTATAAGGCTGGATGTTTTAGTGGATTTATAAAGTCCAATAGAAATTCCAGTCACTCAATCTGTCACTTTTGATTTTCATTCTGTCATTATATAAAGTCTCATGTTCTTGTATGAAAATCTGATTAAAGAATGAGACTTTTAAGGCTGCCGACTGGAGTACATATCCTGCTTTAATGTGCCTAAAGATCAGCATGATTTCTGAAATACCTAGTAAATAGGTGACCAGGCACTAACAAAAGGAAATCAACACAAATAAATAATTTTTGAGAATACAGGTAATAATGAAGTCTCTCCATGTACAGATACATTGAGGAAGTCATTAAAACTTTGGGTTACTTTAGAAAAAAAAATAGTTGTGAGAAGAAAACATATGTAAAATATTAAATAAAAATGGTCAAGTGAAGATATATATATAAAAGCTCCTTTGTGCAGGTAGATTATGTTGTGTTGTTACCTTTCTCTGGAATACTGACACTTCTAGTGTACCATAAGCTCTGCCAAGGCTGATTGCCTTACCGCTTTTGGAACCTCATGTCTTCAGCCTGAGGAAAAGTAAAAACAAAAAATAAAATAAAAACTGTGTAATGGTAGCAAAAGCACTACCAGGAAACTAATTTTTTTTTTCTTCACCAAATTCTACATGCCTCCATATTTTCTGGAATGGCTAAGTGAATTTCTTGTTCAAATAGTATTCTTTTAAGGGAAAGAAAACTGTGGTAATGAAAAGCACCTTGTTGGCTTTTAAAAGTTTAATTATTGTCTTATATTAAGATATATCCACCTCACCATTTCTGCCTAAGAATCCATTTTGTAATTGTACTTGGTAAAGCATGACTGTCATGCTAGGTTTATTTTTGTGCAAAACCTTTGTGCTTCTTCTGAAATGTTTGGAGTGTTTTGCTTTACTGAGCCACCTTTCATAAGTACAGTTTATGAAGACCTTGTAAGAATAGCATTTCTATTGGATTTGCAATTATTTTTAATTCATTAGTACTTGATAAATGAATATTCATAAGCACAAAAACATAGTTTTCACACTCAGCAAAATGAATCAAATGTCCTTTTTTTTTCGGTAAAATAACTAACCGGTTAATATTAGAAATTGGCTATAGAGAAAAATATATCAGTGTAATGATTAGTTATTTCATCAGCTATTTCATCTTGCGTATGAAAAGTTACGTTTACTTGAAACAAAAAATAGTTGTTGCAACAGAGTATCGAGTTGATGGGAAATGCATCAGATTTAATACTCCCTCACAGATGGCTCTTGGTGTGAAACTATTTTATCTTTCCATATTACGGTTGTAGCCAAGCAAATAAATATATCGATTTTTAATTTTTTTTTTTTAAATGCTGCTGTTTGGGTGCCAGAGATCTGCACCTCTCTGTCCAAGCTGCCGCTGCTGCTGGTGGGAATATCCCTTGAGCCGAGCTCGCTCTCGCTTGCGGCATGCCTAGCAACACAACGGTCCCGGGGCTGGCTTTGCCAAGCAGCAGTGCCAGAGGTTCACGGGGCCAGCACTGCCGTGGGGGAGGAATGTCAATGAAGGTGGCAGTGGCCTCCCCTGCCATCCTCCAGCATCAGCTCATTTGCAGATCTTTCAATTTTACTGCCGCTGTCACCAAAAGGATAATTTGAAGCCTTTGACTTTGTATCTTCATTGTTACCTCTCTTTCTAGGCGGTTCTATGGATGGAGTGGTGCTTCATTCCACTAAAGATCTGAGTTATTTTGTTGGGATTTTTAAATTAAAATATTTTATGTATGCCATTTGAATGGCAAAACCAAACATTACTTTGTCAACTAGATACCAATAAATTTTTAGACTGTTCCAGAAATGGAAGCTTCACTGAGGTAGTGTTTTCCTGTCACTTGC